CCCTCTGTTGTCTGTATTTCCTACAGTCCGATTCAAGTAGAGTCCTGTTGGCAAGACAAACAGTGCTCGGCAATACTAGATACATGATGTTTGCGGTTTTCATAAGGATAGCTGTTGAAGTTTAATTTTATTAATTAACTAGAATATTTTTTTAAAAAGACAGTTCTACATGTCTACTATCAAGTTACTCTATATTATGGTTCATACAAGCAAGGCGGAATAAACACTTGCTCCTTTTTTAATTGAAAAATTTTCAGAATAATTAATTTGTTCTTTATTATTCTGAGGTAACAGTTCCTTTTTATTTCAATAATATTAAAAATGAATTATTTTTAAATATTTGCTAAGTTACAATGATCATTTCTGAAGCTCAAATTTCACCACATCAAATCAGGTCCAAGCTCCTTCAAGTGGCTCGTGGGTCTTTTACAAGGCTCTCATAACTTTTTATTTATTAAAATATAATTTAGATAAAATTCACATTTTTAAAGATTACAACTGATTTTCGTATATTCACATGGTTGGCCAGTGAAAACCTTACGAATAGGAGGAGTAGAACATCGTCTGATATAAGCCAGAGGGTGAGTCCCTAAGGTTGAGAACCACTGAAAATAAGAAGAAACAGCTGCAAGCATTCATTAATACACAGACTGTAGAATGTAGCAAACTAGGAAAATTGAATATTGTCAAAGATGAAAATAAAATGCATGAAGATTGATATTCTGGGCATTAGTGAGCTGAAAGGGACTGGGTCAGGCCATTGTGAAATGGACAATCATAAATCCACTGGGCAGGACTGACAAACTGAAGAGGAAGAGCATCATTGTCAAAAAGACCACTTCAAGATCTATCCTGAAGTAAAATACTGTCAGTAAAACGATGATATTCACATGCTTACAAGGAAGACCAGGTACTATAACTACTATTCAGATTTATAAAAAACAGACCCTAAAGGCAATAATGAAGAAATTAAAGAGGTCTACCAACTTCTACAGTCTGAAATTGATCAAATATGAGAGCATGCATTAATAATTTCAGGTGGTTGGAAGGTGGTAGTTGGAAACAAAGACGAAAGATCAACAGTCGGAAAATATGGCCCTGGGGATAGAAATTATGTTGGAGATGGCATGAGAGACTTTTGTGAGTATACACATGGACCTTGTCATATGAAATAAATACCCAGGAATTAAATAAACAACATCTGAGGAAAGAGATGATGAAAAAACTAAAACAAAAACCAAAAAAAACCCCCAAAACCAAACAAACTCATTGCCATCAATTCAATACTGACTCATGGTGACCCTACAGGACAGGATAGAACTGCTATTGTGGGTTTCTTAGACTGTAACTGTTTACATGAGGAGGAAATTCCTATCTTTTTCCAGTAGAAATAAGAATTCTGAAATTTCTATTCTTTGCAATATTATTAATAGTTTGTTAAAATCTATATAGTCAAATGCCTTTGCATAGTCAATAAAACAGAAGTACATATCTCTCTGGTATTCTCTGCTTTTAGCAAAAATCTGATGTCAGCATTAAAATCCCTTGTTCAACGTCTTCTTCTAAAGATGACTTAACATTTTGACAGCTTCTTGTTTATGTTCTTCTACAGCAATTTCTGAATTACTTTCAGCAAAACTTTACTTGGATATGATATTGTTTAACAAATTCTGCATTTTGTTGGATCACCTTTCTTTGGAAAAGGCACAAATATGTCTCTCTTCCCTTCAGTTGGCCAAATAGCTGCCTTAATATTTGGCATTAATGAGTGCGTACCTTCAGGGTTTCCAACTGTATTGATATATTTCAATTTATATTCTTCCAATTTCTGGAGCCTTGTTTTTTGCTGATGCTTTCAGTGCAGCTTGGACGTCTTCCTTCAGTACCACTACTTCTTGATCATAGGTTACCTCTTGAAATGGCTGAATATCAACCAACCCTTTTTGGTGCAATGCCTGTGTATTCCTTTCATCTTTTTTTGAGCCTTCCTGTGCTGTTCGACATTGCATTCTTGGAATCCTTATATATATCAACTCAAGGTTTGGATTTTTGTCTTCAGTTCTTTCAGCTTGAGAAATGCTAAGTGTGATCTCCCTTTTAGGTTTTCCAACTGCAGGTCTTTGCACATTTCATTAGCATACTTCATTATTGGATATGTGATCAGTCTAAAGCACAGTGTCAACAAAAAAGAGGAAGACATCGAAGAAATGGATTGACACAGTGACTGCCAACAATGGACTAAAACATAGCAACAATTGTGAGTATGGCGCCAGACTGAGCAGTATTTCATTCTGTTGTACACAGGGTCACTGAATCCGAAGAGACTCACTTGCACCTAACAACAAGCATTCCCTGCCATTAAGGACATTCCCCAAATCCTTGTAAAAATTCAAAGAGGGTTATAAGACACTTATTAAGATACATGGTAGCATTGGGAATGTAAAATAATTATACTTGTTCATACTCTTATATTCCTCTTTATGGAAAATCTTTGGATAGATTAACCTTTTAGAGGCATACAAATCCTTTCTTTTTAATGCCAATTTAACTTTTTCAGTTTTATTATTATTTTAAAGTTTATTGGCATATAATTCCCATACCATATAATTCAATGGTTTAAATATATTGAGAAGAGTTGTGCAATCAACAACACAATGAATTTTAGAACGCTGTCTGCATTCTTGTACCTATTATTATTAGCGCTCCACTACCCCCAAATATCTGTCAGAATCCTAAGGAACTATTAATCTAGTTACTGTCTCTATGGATTACTTATCATGTATTTCATATAAAGAAAATCATACCAAAAAATCCAACAATGACAACAAAAGAAAACACAGAAAGAAACTCAATATAAAAGAAAGCAGAAAATAACATAAAGTAGAACAAATTAAAAATGGGTCAGAAGGGAAAACAAATGACAATATGTTAAATTTTAACCTAATTATATTCACTTTTCAATGCACTGTGGCCAAGGGCAAGACTATTCATATCGTCTAGTCAATGGTCTGAGGGAGTTCCACCAAGTCTTAATCCATGTAGGGACTCTGCAAAATGGATTTTGGGCATTGACTGGCATCCACAGCCTTCTACAAACCAGGTGCTCAGAATTTAACTTCTCATAAAAAGGCCTCCTCTGAAGTACGCCACACGGGCTGGTGTACTTCTTCTATATGGACTTTGCTGACACCTTACTTAGATACTGCTTGTTTCAAGACAAGTCTTTAAAACCCCAGACACTGTTCTTTCCGCTAGCCATACAGTCCCTTATAAAGGTAAAAAATAAAAAGTCAAGTGAACAGGCCTTGGCTAAAAGTATCTAAGTAGGGACCAAGTACAGGCTATAGGAGAGTTCATTAACAAGATAACATATTACACATTAAGCAAAATGGCCTTAATTACATTAAAACTTAGTTGGGATGACTTGGTCAATAGAAATGTATACTAGGGAAAGCAAAGGGAGAGACCAATTTTTAGAGTTGGCACTCCTGGAGGAAGACAAATCTGATGGGGAAAAACTACTACTTTGGGACCGGTATCATCATTTATTTTATTAAGATACTACGACAACTCTTAATGCCATTGAGTCAACTCTGACTCATAAGAACCTTTTAGGACAGAGCAGATCAGTCTGCTCCCGTGGGTTCCTAGACTGTACATCTTTAGAGTAGAAAGCCTCATCTTTCTCCTGTTGAACAGCTGTGGTGTTGAACGGCCGACTTTGCGATCAGCAGTGCAATACTGCCACGGATGATTCAACATTTGTTCATACTGATTTCATCTCAATTTGACTGAAACTAAAGCAAAAGAAGAATGGGGTTTTGTATGGAGAAAGAGCTATACGTGGTAGAGCTTTTGGTGAAGTATACATCGCAGAGATGGTAAGGCTAAAAAAGCAAACCACAAACGGAGAACGGCGACAAAACTGACTTAAGAAGACTGGGACACACGTTACTGTTGTTGTTATGTGTCAAGTTGGTTCTTACTCGAGTAACGCTAGGTACAACAGAATGAAAAACCGCCTGGTCCTGCGCCACCCTCACAATCACTGTTATGTGTGAGCCCAGTGTTGTAGGCGCTGGGTGTTGGCCTCTTCTTTGCTTGCCTGCTACTTTAACAAGTACAATGTCTTTTTCCAGAGACCAATCTCTCCTGCTAACATGTTCAAAGGATGTGAGAAGTCTGGCCTTCCTTACTTCTAAAGGAGCATTCTGGCTGTAATTCTCCAAAGCTAGATTTGATTGTTCTCCTGGCAGTACACAATATTCATAGGGACTCTTGAGGGGGGTGGGGGGCATGAAAAGTAAAAGGTAAAGTAAACAAGACTCTCTGGCCATCCCTGGCCTGAACCAGGCTCAGTTTTCAAGCTGTTATATTATCTCTTATTATAGTAGCATGAGCTGCCTAATTTGTGAAAGGTACTTTCTAGTGTCCTGCCCTCAATTCTCCCTAGCCATTGCTGGGAAATTAAAGATGAGGTCCAAAGATCTACAGTGAGATGAGAAAATGGGGCTTTTAGTTCCATTTAACAAAGCTCCTATAAAAGCAATTCATCAAAGCAAAAGCAAAATATATCATCTAATCATCTTTTAATGCATTAAAAGAAAAAGTCTATTTCTCCAAAGCATGACTAAACTGAGCAAAAAGGATCTATATTCAAAAAACCCAGAACGCAAACAAGAAGGTGCACTGGACGACAGTTGCCACTGAGTCTGTTACAACTTACAGGGACCCCACGTGTGCCCACCGCGTTTTGAATGGCGCTTTTTGTTTTTTAAGCAGATTACCAGGTTTGTTCCAAAGCACCTCTGGGCCTAGTCAAACCTCCAGCCTTAAGTTAGTAGCCAACCACATTAACTATTTGGATCACTCGGGGAGTCATGGGTATACTATAACCCATACACTATATTTCTTGAGTTATGACAGAAGATTTGAGCTTAAAATCTGCGTTTTCACCGTGTTCTACCAACGGCCATGAAGGAGTGGGAGAAACGACATACCCAGCTGCTGGAACAGGAGCGCCACACTGGTGCCGGTGACAGGAAGACTGTCATGTAGAGGGGTCTGGATCAGCTGTCTATCGCCTGCACCCAAGGAAAAGAGCTTCTGCAAATTGGGGCCAGGGAGAAACACAGACACAGGTATAAATGGCTGCTTTCCTCTAATGTTAAAACAGATGTTGTTGTTTTTTTCTATTCTGGGGTCTATAAATGCATTTCAATAATGAAACTTACTCGCATTTTTGTCTTCAACATTTCAAATAAACATGTTTGCCCAATTATTGCAGTAATATCAGAATCATGAAAAGGGAAGATAAACAAAGTAACCTTTGTAGCCTCTTTGTTTCAGTTTAGTTATTCAAGGGAATGTCACAGGGGATGGGCCTTTAACAAGAAATAAAATCAAATTTATATCAACTGACCATATAAAGTCATGCAAAGAGATGCAAAGGACACAATGTATTATCTAACTCACTCAAGCTAGTTTTTATCTATGCCATACCCAACTAAAAGGGATACATGTAAAAGTAAACCCAACTGAAAGGGATACATGTAAAAGTAGAAGTCAGTTACAAAAATCATGAATGTCCATATTTGATTAAATAAATGAATACAAGTTGAAGTCAGCCAAAAAAAACTCCCCCAACCCGATCATGGTGCAGGCTCATAGACAGTCTACTTCTCTCAGGTTTTGATCCCATTTGACCACACTCACATTTGATACTCTGCTCTGGGAGCAGAAATAGGAGACTGAGGGAGAGCACGGACAAGCCAAAGGGACAAAAATGTCAGAGGAACAGACACAGTTAAAAAGGATGGCGATTTCTCTGTCAGTGTGAGGAGAGACAGTGGTCTTCACAGGCTGGCCTCTTCCAAAATTGGACGTAAGGATAAGTAAAAATACGAAACCCTCTTTAGAATTTAAGTCTATGTTAAAAAGAGTGGCGACTAGAGACATGAAGCATTGCAGCCAAGGGTATTTTTCTACTTCAGAGACAAACAAGGAAAATCTCTGGACATGGAAGAGGAAGAAAAGGTGACCACTTAAGATACTTTCATTTGGGTAAAAAAATTTTTTTGGTTTGTTTACCTTGTTTTTTAAAATAATTTTATTGGGGGCTCTTACAGCTCTTATCACAATCCATATATCCATCCATTGTGTCAAGCACATTTGTACATATGTTGCCATCATCATTTTCAAAACATGTTCTCTCTACTTGAGCCTTTGGTATCAATCAGCTCATTCCCTCCCTCCCCCGCCCCCAAGAACCCTTGATAATTTATAAATTATTATTATTTTTATGTCTCACACTGACTGCTGTCTCCCTTCTGTTGTCTATCCTCCTGGGAGGGGGCTATATGTTGATCATTGTGATTGGTTCTCCCTTTCTCCCCACCTCACCCATACCTTCCCCTTCCCCTCCTGATATCGCTACTCTCATTATTGGTCCTGAGGGGTTGATCTGGATTCCCTGTGTTGTGAGCTCTTATCTGTACCCATGTACATTCGCTGGTCTAGCTGGATATGTAAGGCAGCCTTGGGGTCCTGATCGTGGGGGAGAGGAAGCATTAAAGAACTAGAGGAAAGTTGTATGTTTTGTTGGTGCTATACTGCACCCTTACTGTAAGGCTCATCTCTTTCTTGTGACCCTTCTGTGAGGTTATGTCCAATTGTCTACAGACAGGCTTTGGGTCTCCACTCCGCCCTTTCCTTCATTCACAGTGATATAAGTTTTTGTTCTGGGTCTTTGATGCCTGATACCTGATCCCCATCAACACCTTGTGATCACACAGGCTGGTGTGCTTCTTCTATGTGGGCTTTGTTGCTTCTCAGCTGGATGGCCGCTTGTTTATCTTCAAGCCTTTAACACCCCATACGCTATATCTTTTGATAGCCAGACACCATCAGCTTTCTTCACCTTTGCTTATGCACCCATTTTATCTTCAGCGATTGTGTCGGAAAGGTGAGCATCACAGAATGGTGTTATTAGAACAAAATGTTCTTGCATGGAGGGAATACTTGAGTAGAGGCCCAATGTCCATCTGCTGCCTTGATACTTAACAAATAAATATATGTACATAGATCTATTTCTATGTACATGCCTGTAGTTAGAGCTCTATAAATGTCCTTTGCCTCCTAGTTCTTTCCTCTATTTCCTTTTACTTTCCTCTTGTCCCACTACCATGTTCATACTTTATTTGAGTTTCAGTAATTCCTCTTGGCTACATTGCCCTTGATCAAGCCCACCAGGCATTCTATACCCTCCTCTCTTGTGATCTGAGATCATTTGTTGTTTCCTTGCCCCTGGGTTTGTTGGTACCCCCTTTTCTTTCCCCTGTCTCCCTCTCTCTTGTGTCCCCCTGGAACCATCAGTCCCATTGTTTTCTCCTCTGGTTTGCTTATCCCGCCTATCTTATCTAGATAGACATGCAGAGACAATAATAAGCACAAAAACAAGACAAAGCGAAACAAAACAGTAAAAGAAAACAAAGAACAAAACAACAACAACAACAACAACAACAAAAGGAAAGCCTATAAATAGTTCCAGGTCTGTTTGTTGACCTTTATGAGTGTTTTCCTGTTGAATCTGATGGGGTGCCACGCCCTGGCCCCAGAATCTATTTTGGTATTCCTCGGGGTCTTCATTGCTTTGTTCCCCTTGCTGCTCTGTTTCACCCCAGGAGTAGGGTAAAATTTTAATGTCTTCATGTATAGATCTCAGTGGCAAAAATTCTTGGGAAAGTTTAAGGTATAGAGTATCCAATGCAGATTTGTGAATTTGGACAATAGCCTCTTCTTTCAAAGAATACATGCACACTATTTTATTAAAATCTTCATATACCTACCCCCCCCCCCAAAGACTTCAGGATGAGGTAAAGTACTGTTGCCCAAGGAAAATAATACATGTATCTATTTAGATTCAAAATATTATGTTGAAAGTTTATTTAATGTTATGCTTCACTTTTTAATTCATAATTTTTTTTAATAAAAAAGGGTATAACTATAAAGAGGAAGTTGGTTTTTAAAAAAATTTATTTCAAAAACGTGTAAACTACAGTTCAAGTTACAGAAACTATGACGTCTAACTATGCGATAGGAAAGGCGATCCCTGCACTAAAATTAACCTGGTGACCTAGGACAATGATGGAATCTTGGGTCTCTAAAAGGCGGACCATAGGGACAATACTTAACTAGAATCCTCTTTAAGACAAAAATATTTAAAGGACTCTTTCCTTTCCCTTTTTCACACATGAAATAGGCTGGGGCTGAGGGAAGAAAATAACCTTTCTCCATCTCTATTTACCTGAGACCCACCAGCTGCAGGGACAAGGCATGCACACAGGTTTGCAATGAGACTTTCTAAGGAGACATTCAGACTGTCCACATATACAGTATAGATCAAACCCAGGCACGCCTGCAAAGACAAAGATGCACGGAGTTACTTCATGGAAAAAAACAAAACACTAAGAATAGATTGCTGTGACATCTGATCCCTAGAAAAATTTCCTTTGAACGCAGTAAAATATATTCTACAGTGAATGTGGAATAAACTTCAAGCAGCAAATGTTATTATGTTTATTAAATTTCCCTCTAAAACCAGAAGCTCTAATTGAGCTTCTGAGATAAGTTTATGGAGAGCAGGAACAAATAATTTGTAAAACAGGTGCTCATGTTCAGATAATCACTCTGGCAAATTTGTAGGGCTAAGATTCTTTTTTTGCCTAAATTATTCTATAAATCTTCAAATTTCAAGATAAAACATTTAGGAAGCATAATTTGTTTCATGATTATTAAATTTAGAACATTCATGCCACAGAGTAACCTATGTGAGTTATTATAAAGGATAGCAAAATAGATAAATGAGAGTGCAAGCTATAACACATGCCTAACTTTAGAATAAGATAGAGGATAATATGAAGACAAAAATGCAATCTTTGGCAATATTTCCATTTAATGAAACTTGTGACTCAGACAAATTATAGTATTTGTTAGGAGTTTCCCATTTCCATTGAAATCGTAACACTAATTTTTCTACAACACATACAATCTTATCAATAGAAATACATTTTAAAGAAATTATATATCAGTACACATTTATAAACAAAGACCTTTTGCATTAAAAAATTTGGAGTGTCTAGAAAAATAAAATATTTGGTAGGAAAAACGTTAATTTAAAGCTCTTGGTGGTAGTTGGTATTATAATCACAACAATTTGAACTCTCAAAAAGCCATCCTATTTACTCATAAAATGTGGATAAACATACAGAACACTTTATACTAATTTGTTTTAAATTTGCTATAAGTAACCATGTTACTTCTTTAGGATTCATAAATGATTTATTTAATAAACATGGGGCATATTTTGAGCAAATACGACACCCTTAGAAGTTTAAGAAGTCCAATTAACTTCTTTTTTATTTATTTTCCAATTAACTTCTTCAGATTGTCATCCATCATGAGTTTTTGTTCTGCTCACACTAATTTTGGCTCATTGGTGAATTCCTAAATTAGTCTAAAGACGTCTTAGATACAAAGAACTGGTCATAATGGTGCACTCAAAACAAATTTACATAATACAAACAATAAAGACAACTATGAGTTCTTTACCCTAAAGATTTCTGGATAGTCTAATCTGGATACCAACACCAGGCTTTTTGGAGCAAACACTTCTGCGGGCTGAATCAAACCAGACACTTCCTCTTCACTTTCAAGCTCTTCTTTCTTGGTTCCCTAGAAATAGGGGTATTGTTGTGAATAGCTAGAACTTCCATAAATTAGTAATTCACAAAATATAGAAACACTATATACCTTCAAATAATAACTCATGAAACACATATCAAACAAAAAGTACAGACTGTACTCTGAGAAGAATCTAAGAGACAAGCAGACAAAGAAATAAAGCACAGACAAGATAATCATTTTTTAAAGCTCCTTAAGCTTCCGAGGTTACTGGAGTGATCGACAAATAGTCAGCGGTTAAGAATCAATCACACCCACTTAAATAGTAAATCAGTTTTTAAGAGAAGAAAAGCTGTTTCAGAAATGGCATTTTCCATTTTATTTGTCAGTCCAACCCATTCTTTCAAACAAAACAGACAGCCGTTTCTGATCCTAGTGCCAGTGGAGCTGCTCAATGCTATGGAAGTAAAGCACAATCAACTCTAACTTTCTTTTGCTCAGAATCAACAATGTCAATATCTTGAGGAGAACTTTTACACATAAAATTAAGTCTCATCAATAAATATGGACTAATGACATACACTTTGGAAAAGCTTATTCTTGCATATAAGTCAACAAATATGTCCTGGGTACTTACTTTCCTGTACTATACCAACCACAGTAAAAAAAAAAGATTAAAAAAGGCAGGGTAATAAAGCATGAACATTTTTTCTATATGATAGTCTAAGACTGTAGGACATCGTCCGTAACAACAATCTCCATTTTTCTTTCTTTTGCACCAATTAAAGTGTCCAAAACACCACTTGAGTCTTCTTCTCCTGCAGTGTTCCTTGTCTCCGTTGAGGCCAAGCCCATTCTTCCATTGAGGGACTGCCTGCTTACTTGTTGTTCCTTTGCCTGGAATCCTCTTCCCACAGATATCCTAATGGCCTATTCCCTCCTCTCTCTCCACTTATTGAAGTGTTACAGGTATTTATTAAAGTGTTACTTCCCATTAGTCCTTTGCTGGCCACCTTTCTAGAAACTTCAAGACCGTTTTTGTTGTTAGGTGCCATCCAGTAAGTTCCGATTCATAGCAACTTTACATACAACAGAACAAAACAACACCTAGTCCCTCCTCATCCTCACAACTGTTCTATGTCTGAGCCCATTCTAGTAGTCACTAGGTCAATTCATCTTGGGAGGGCCTTCCTTTGTTTTATGGCCCCTCTACTTTACCAAGCATGATGTCCTTCTCCAGGGACTGGTCTCTCCTGACAACATACCCAAAGTATATGAGATGAAATGAAGCTTCACTATCTTTGCCTCTACAGAGCATTCTGGTTGTACTGTCTCCATGACAGATTTGTTCTTTTGGCAGTCCATGATACTTTCAATATTAATCTCCAGCAACATAATTCAAACACATTCATTCTTCTTTGGTTTTCTTTATTCAGTGTCCAACTTTCATATGCATATGAGGCAACTGAAAATACCATGACTTGGATCAGGCACACCTTAAGTCCTCAAAGTAACATCCTTACTTTTCAACACTAAAGTGACATTGTACAGCAGATTAACACAATGCAATGTGTCATCTGATCTTTTCACTACGGCCTCCATGAGCATGAATTGTGGATCCAAGCACAAGGAAATCCTTGACATTTTCAATGGTTTATACATTTTTCATGATGTAATCTATTGGTAACATGCCCTAAGAGTGCACAACCGCTTTCTGATGTGTAGTTCTTCATAGCATTTGTCATTATCCAACATAGTATCCATTTGACTTATTTTTTTAGTTTATCTCCCAAAGTAGAAATACTATATAAAGGCTGATATTTCTATCTTTTGTTCACAAGTGACCCCCATTTCCTATAAAGAGCACTAGGAACATTGTTAATATTTATACATCTGCATAGAGACCAATTTTCTTCCAATAGTTTTCTGAGTATTTTACCAAGGGACCTGTCTCCTCTCTTTTCATGGAAAACAAGAACTGTGTTTTCTCTCTCTTTTAGAGCCCACATACTTTCTACTAGAGTGCAATATACAGATGCCTGTGGAATGCAGAGACCCAAAGGGAATTATCTGTTTACTTTTCTTTGTGCAATGAGGTCCATATGCTCTTGAAAGATTTTACTTTGTTACAAAAGAAAAGCTAAAATTAGGCTGGTTTGTTTCTGAAGCCCTTAGAAATAATATTAAAAAGTGATGAATATGGATCTACCCAAGATTGCCACACTTAATGAATCATATTCTTCATGGATTACTCACAAATTTAAAATGACAAAAGAATGACTGAAATGCCTGGAAGAGATAAAACTATTCACACTTTTATGAGATTTTGATAAATGCCCTAGAGTACCATTAGAAATCAACTGGAGTAAATAGATAATCATTTCAAATAAATGACTATTAACCTACTTTTCCCAAAACAGAGAATATATTGGTCATGTTTTTAAAGTGTTCTATAATTAAACTATCAGAAAATGGAACAATTATTTGCAGGGAAAATAAGTAAATAAAGAGTCCAATATAATGCAAATCACTATCAAGCAAAAGCAATTTCACTTTTATTTACATCACTTTTTAAATTATAGACCCTTACTTTATAATCATGGAAAAAACCATAAATCGTTGTTATGCTTAAATCCAATAGCACTCTGTCTCAAGTTTAGAGAAAAATTCATACTTCCCATTTTAAAGCAAAACTACTGCTGTAATTAAAAAACCAAAAATAAACACAACATACACCTGACACAAGAATGCATACTTTTAAAGGTAATATACCCACTTCTCACTTATCAACATGATTAGGTTCCAAAGAGCAAGTTAGGGCAGTAAACACACACACACACACACACACACACACACGAGGATAACTACATCAGAGAACAGAACATAGAATGACCTAATTATTATATACCTGCCACATTATATCATTTCATAACTGTCAAACCATTGAGAATCATGGGCCATCCAAGATGACATGTAACCTTAATTTTTAAAGCCATTGCCACTCTCATCTTGAGCATGGACATTTGTTATGGTCAGCTGTAGGTTGTTAATGCAAAAGCACAGTCAAGTGGATTCTTTTTATTGTTGTAAGTGAAAAATGTTGGCTAGCAGGATGGCTGATAAGTGAAGAGTAGGTGCGTAAGCATAAAGAGATATAAACACGTTAAGAAGTTTTTCCTAGTCTTCACCCAGTCTCATCTTTGCTGCAGTCCTGACTCTGGATTCCCATATCAAACCACCACACCCTATCACGCTTACTCCTAAAAATCATTACAGTCAACATCTTCAACATTGTCTATGTGTTAAGTTGACTTTCAACAACTTCATTTTCATACTAAAAATCCTGCTGCAAAATTTCTTTAAGCAGTTTAAAAAGGAGACTACAAGTAATTGTTCAAATAAAAAAATTTCATTCTAAATTTCTTTTAATGTGAGTTTTTTATTCTAATGGATTATTACATACAGTTAACCCAGTTAAGTAATTTAAGAACTTTCAAACTTTCCAGAATTGGAAGCGAAGGAGTATAAGCCATTGCAAAATTCCGTAAGGTCTAAAATTCCCCCTGGAAAGCTTCCTCATTCCTTGCCAAATAATCTGTTAATCATAATATGCACTTCTAAAATCTAGTTTATTCTTGCCATTGGTCTGGGAAATAAGGAATATGTGGAAAATATGCATTTTAGGATTAAAAGCCTTCAGAATTACCAAATCACTAGTCTTTCCTTAAGAATTGAGTTTACCTCCTTAAAAAGTACAGACTACTCTGTAGATTTCCCTTTTCAATGGCCTCTGGACTCCACTGTATCCTGAAGGCAGGACAAATTTCGTTATAGACCTAGTATATATTTAACCAGAAAGAAGTGTCCTATTTTAGTGACAAATATTCTATAGGTTGCTTAAAAAAATGCCAAAAGGGGAACAAACAACAACATTTAAAATAGTGCTTTCTGTTGGAGGTTAATATTAATAAAGCCACAAGGTCTTCTAATTAAAGAATCTTTAGCACAATAAGTTAAACCAAGTTTAAAAGGTTTCTTTACTACAGATTTTTCTTTTTTTAACCCTGATATGTAAATATCGGTCTTGCCTTTCCAGAAAAGGTATAATAATTTCCCCCCAACTTATTGGACCAAAAGGAGCCCTGTTCCGTGTTTGACCTGCTCTCCACAGGTCAAAAGTTCAAAAAACCCAGCTTTCCCACAGGAGAAAGATGAGGCTTTCCACTTCAGTAAAACGCTATACCCTTGGAAGCCCACAAGGGCGGTTCTGTTCTGTCCTATAGGTTCCAGATGAGTCAGCATCAACGCCATAGCAGTGAGTTTGGTTTTTTGCTTCCCCGATTAATAGAATGAGAGAATCTGGTGCCCTATGGAACACACATTGGGAAAGCCTAGCCTAACTATTATTAATAAAAGTGTGTGAAACAATGTTTATTTCAAAACTGGATTATTCTACTGATATATATCTATTGATATTTGTTCCATTAGTCCTCACATGTCACAAAATAAACTTAAGACTTGATAAGGCTAGAAAATGAACAAGACTGCTGGAGGCCAGGAACAGACTACACAGCTGCCCTAATGGTCTGTATCTTTAAAAAAAAATCATTTTATTAGGGGCATGTACAACTCTTATCACAATCCATATACACATCAATTGTGTAAAGCGCATTTGTACATTCATTGTCCTCATCATTCTCAAAACATTTCCTCTCTAAAGAAAGCAGCATTTTTGGAGTGGCTAGTGTTCTCGTGTAAGTTTCAAAATAGCAATTGTTCTTTACTTAGTAAACCTTTCAAATGGTTCTGGAAGACCACAGTATAATCTTGCCAGAAAGAGCGATGCTTTCGGTGGCACGACAGTGTCAGTTGAGTTCTTTTTCTTTTTTTATATCATTTTATTATTGGCTCATACAACTCATCACAATCCATACATACATCAATTGTGTAAAGCACATTTGTACATTCATTGCCCTCATCATTCTCAAAACATTTCC